CAGCATTCTGTTCCATTATCTCATGCAATTAAAATAAAATAAATCACTTATACTACTCATGATTTGATGATTTACTCAATAAACACAATTATATTTTCTATAATAAGAAATAATGACAGAAACTAAAGAAGTAGTGTCTACAGCGACTTAAAAACTGAAATGGATTCAGTTCAAATTTACTGTCAGTTTATGGTTTCCTTTACTACTATAGCTGTTGCAGTTTTTTAAAACTAATTATAAGAGAGAAAGTATTATGTCAATACTAACAACAGAACCTTTTCTGCATCTGTGTTCTTACATGTTTAACCTAATGCACTTGTGGAGCATGTGTGTGTAAAAACAATTAATCACTTAAGCTCGTATGTATAAGCTGTCCCTAGTGGCATTAATACTTATATTCCAAGTAAAAATGCAAAGACAAGCTTTTCAGCATTTTTCAAAATTTTAAATCAGGCAGCAAGTGTGAGAATAAACTTTACTCTTGACTTATGAACAGAGCTATATGAACAAGTACCATATAGCTGTAAGGGATATGGTGGTGCACTGGAACAGACTAAATAATGGAACAGCCTAAATGATGCTGCATCCAGTAGCCATAATGCACTTCACGATAGTTCTCTTGAAGGAGAATTAAAAGGTACATTACAACAACCAAAATCTACGCCATATAGTAGACTGTATGCTTGAAGTTATAAATGTCAAATAAATATATAGATCAAGACACAGACTGATAGAGATATTGATAGATATCACTAGATATTTTGCCCTCTATTTACATTGCTTTCTATTTATTCAAATATGTATGCAAAACTACACAATGTACATGAGAGAGTGCATTTTTCTTTTCTTTTTTCTTTTTCTTTTCTTTTTTTTTTTGTACATACAGTGGGGGTTATATGGGTTTGTGTGGATATCTTTGTGTAGGTGGGTGTATTTGCATCTCTGTTTGCTGAGGGCACGTGAGTGTGTAGATAAGTGCTTGTGGCCAGGTGATTGTGAATGGTGCATGTACATGTGCACACACACACTCACACACACACACACATACACACACACACACACACACACACACACACACACACACACACACACACACACACACACACACACACACTCACACTCACACTCACACTCACACTCACACTCACACTCACACACACACACACACACACACACACACACACACACACACACACTCACACTCACACTCACACACTCACACTTTAAACATATATAATTATATAAATACATACATACATTACATATGCACATACAACCAGCTATATAGCTCTAGAGATATATTCATCAAATGCCATAATCAAATCACCAAAAACAAGCTGCTTTGCATTTGCAGAATCAAACATACAGCAATATCAATAGCAATCAAATTATTCAAAATATCAATGAAATGCATCTGGTATATTGAGATGGATTTGACTTTTCTTATCCTTTCCTCAACCAGTCATACATTAATTTGTACACACTTGATATATACATACTCACATACACATACATATAAGTGTGACTATGTGTATTACTGTATGAGGTTGAATAAGAAGACAAGTGTGATAATTAAAATATAAACAGGAGTATTAAAATGAGTACTTGTAATTCTATTTGTGCATGTGTGGTTGTACGTATGTGTACATCAATGCCTCTGATTTGTGTGTTTGAGCAGAAAAACCTCAATGAAAGACAGTTATCTCAGTGATACCAGAAACAGTTAACCTTGTGATATTTTGTAAACAGACATGCAAAATCACAACTCTGGGAAACATTTAAGAATTGAATAAATACTCTGAACATGCGCTGCAAAAATATTCATTACGAAAGCGCTATTTGCTGGTACTTTATTTCATTTTTCTTAACGAAGCCTTTTCAAAATAGGTATCAAATGCAACAATATCGTTAGACACTTTAATCTTGAACAGCTGACCCTGTTCTGAAACATTTTTAAGCACATTTTTTTTTTTCAGTGGATTTGGATTTCATTTTTCCTAGGAAATTTCTTTCTGGAAATCAGAATTCAACTAACCCATTTCCTTGAGAAAGGCCTTCAAAGGATATCTGAACTTGACAAAAAATCATTTGCTAACATAATTCCTTCTGGATCATTTGAATATCATATCCTTATATACTTCTTTCAGAACATTTAAATTTGACAAAATCATTTCCCAATACAATTCCTACCATGGTATTCAGACTTGAAAAAAAAATCATTCTAGCTGAACTTTTGAACTTAACCAAATCATATTGAACATTTCAACTTTAAACAAATCACTTACACGTGACTGGTCTGTCTGTGGCTAACAGTTACAACTGCTGAGCTAGCATGCACATATCTGCCAGGCCTATCATTAACAAAACTTCTCTTGAGTGGTAGTTGTAGTTAGAAGGACATACACAGTAACCTGTCACCTGTAGAAGAACTGCAAACCCAATAAAACTAGGATGTGCTAGCTATATATCAATGTAACAGTCTTCTAAGTGCTGTGAACTTTAACTGAAAAAAGTGTATCATTAATCACTTGCACAGTGTTAGGTTTTCAAACTAGCTTATTTTATGAAATCACACAGCTTCATGAAACGTAGTGCTAATGAACAACGGATCTGTCTGAATAAGATTTTTAGATCGTAATTTTCTTTTCCAAGTCATCTTCTATTATGACAATTCACTTTTAAGTTAAGACTTCAGTCATTATTACATAATTATGGGAACTTTACAACATTTCACGTTTTTATGCATCTCTCTACCTCCACCTATCTAAATACAAATAGATTTTTGTGTGTGACCAAGTAAGAGACAGAGAGAGTGGGTGTCAGAGTGAGTGAGTGAGTGAGTGAGTGAGTGAGTGAGTGAGTGAGTGAGTGAGTAAGTGAGTGAGTGAGTGAGTGAGTGAGTGAGTGAGTGAGAGAGAGAGTGAGAGAGAGAGAGAGCATGAGAGAGAGAGAGCATGAGAGAGAGAGAGCATGAGAGAGAGAGAGCATGAGAGAGTGAGAGCATGAGAGAGTGAGAGAGTGAGAGAGTGAGAGCGTGAGAGAGTGAGAGAGTGAGAGCATGTGAGAGTGAGAGCATGTGAGAGTGAGAGCATGAGAGAGTGAGAGTATGAGAGAGTGAGAGTATGAGAGAGTGAGAGCATGAGAGAGTGAGAGCATGAGAGAGTGAGAGAGTGAGAGAGTGAGAGAGTGAGAGAGTGTGAGAGTGAGTGAGTATGTGTGAGTGAGAGTGAGATTTATGTATTTATGTATTTATTTATAAATTGGTTTTCATATGATTAAATGTTGCACTGTTACTGACTGGACT